GAAGCAGTTGTAACAGCTTGAAGTTTTAAAGTTTAGATAGATGTTGATAGTATATTGCTAACATGATTTAACATGTTGCTAGCATGTTTCTAGCATGATTAACATGTTTTAACATGATTAGCATATTGCTAACATGTTTCTAGCATGATTATCATATTGCTAGCATGTTTTAGCATTATTTAGCATGTTGCTAACATGACTGAAAAAATCCAGCTAAAACCAGCTTATTTAGTTTACAAAAAATAGCTTAAAACCAGAAAATTGATTTAAAAAAAAAAGGCCAAGCCAACATGACAATTATATAACATTTTTTGTAGAAGTGTAAATTCCATATCCTGATGGACAAGGAGTGAATTTTTATGTGGTTGATTTATTATTGGGAGCTTTATTTTATTACAGTAAGCCCCAGATTGACCCTCAAGACCTGTCATAAACACCGGGCTACACTTGACACGTGCAAAGTCCAGGAATTCACCTTTTAACCGGGTCTGTCTCGATGTTCCATTGATGAAATCAGAGAGAGAATAGCAGATGGCTGCGCTCGTGAAAGCAAAGAGAACTAAATCTTTCCATCTCAACTATGAGGTCACCCGTGTCACAATTGAGTTTGCTTTTGATTGAGACGTTGGCCAGAAGGATACCTTGCAAAGACTACTACACCATGTCGGTTATATTAACATGTGATTTAATGCCAGTGTGTTCCCACTGTCCCGTCTCTCTATAAAGGCCTTTGGTGAGTCTGGACACAGGAAACCGCTTGTTGGTACAGCTGGGCAGCTTTTGCAGGCATCATTCACTTAAATATTTAAGAATCCTATCTTGGTCTGTCATGCAAAGACTGTCTAATGTCTGTCTGTAAGAAGCAGATGAAGTGTGATTTCACATTCTAACCTCTTAAAGGTAAAGTACATCCATTTAATAATAATGGGATAGTTCACCCAAAAATGAAAATTCTGTCCAAACCCGTTAGACCTTCGTTCATCTTCGGAACAACAAATTAATATATTTTTGATGAAATCCGAGAGCTTTCTGACCCTGCATAGACAGCAATGCAACTGACACGTTCAAAGCCCAGAAAACTAGTGAGGACATCATTAAAATAGTCCATGTGACATCAGTTGTGGATTATTGTGATGTTTTTATCAGCTGTTTGGACTCTCATTCTGACGGCACCCATTCACTCCAGAGGATCCATTGTTGAGGAAATTATATAATGCTAAATTTTTGGGTGAACCATTCTTCTAAAGTAAATACTACCAGTGAATGATATTCAAAATCGTCTGAGGCAATATGATAGGTTTATGTGAGAAAAAAAGTGATTCAAATGTTTAATCGATCAAAAGTGTTATGAAAGTGGTTTGCAAAGTTTCATTTTGGTACATACTGATGGAATACAAACATGTCTTTACTCCGAAACACTGAAATACAGTCTGAAACCAGTCAGGGTCTGGAAGACATTAGCGTTGAGAAACCTTAAAACAAAATTTCCAAAATCAACTGTTTTGAAAGTGTACCCGGCTTCAACACCGCTTTTAACTGATCCAGCAGAAATCTGTTGATGTAAGCCCGGGGGGGAAGTTGTTCCCTGCCGTATGAGATGTTAACCACATTTGGACTCTCTCACGGTTTCCAAGCCAACAATAACGAGTGACTCTGGTTGAGTCAGCAAAGCGTTAATGTGTTTCCTCTACAGACCTTCCATGTTCCAACCGTTCATGTGTATGTATTATATCTGTGTAAAAATTTCCAGTCTGTGGTTAAAAAAAAAAATCACCACAAAATAATCAGTGTTAAATTATCTCCAACGACATTTGTTTAAAACTATCTTTAGAAGAGTGACTCGGATAGCACAAACCAAGGGGGGCTCAAACCTGATGAAAGCGGTCTCATAGCATTCTAATGGTTTACATTTGAATCATTATTAGTAGTGTTTGCTAAGACAAGATACTATCACTATTTTAAAAAAAAACCTTTGTGCGACAAATGAGTTCAGATTTACAATTTTTACAAGGGATACGTTAAAATGGCTGAAAAAGTCTCATGGTGTCCATAAAGTGGACATTATTCAGTCCTATAATTGCTAGCTGCTAGAGATTGCCTATTAGCATCACGCTGAATGAATTCACTCCTTTACTTCAATTATACAGTCCACTTAATGTAGGAATAGTGACAGACAAGCCAACAGTTTACATTTAAGGACTCAGGAGGTAAGCAACCACAAGAATGAAATTAGCATTGTACTAACAACTACTCAGAACAACTAATCAATAACATACATTAGCAATGACCTGACAACCACCCAAAACACCATAGAAACCACCTGGAACATTATCAACAACCAAGAAACCACAGAGAACGCAATTACCTAGCCAGCTTCAAGAAACCACCAGAGATTGTCTTATTACTGGGAGATGCGAGGGTCAGTAGTACTTACCACTGGAAAAACCGTAATAGCTAACTTGGATCACGTGAGGCAATCATACAAAGGTCTCCTTCCCTGCGTACCACCAAAGTCGCAGTGTTAGCATTAGCTGTTACGCTTTTTTGGTGTGGCTTTAGAAACCACCCAAAATGCAGCAACCAAATAGCAATGTGCAAACAACCACCATAAAATGTGTTATTCTTTATAAAAGTTAAGATTCGTCCACGCCTTCCTAAAACGCCTCGTTTAAATACGCCCCCACATTAGAGGTCTGCACGGGCTTTAAAGTGAAGCCCAAACCCGGCCCGTACCCGAGATCGTCTGACCCGACCCGAGCGGCACAGTTAAATTTAGAGCCCGAGAGAGAGAGATGAAAGTTGCGTGTGTGAACCTGAGTCTGCTCTCTACAAGCAATGAGGCTTAGTTCCTTCAAAAACAGTGATTTTACCCCCTCATTGCAGAGAAATATAACGTTGCGAGTCAGTAGCCTGTCGAAGCTATTTTACTAATAAAAGTTTCCGTGCGGTGTTGTGGTGTGCTATAATGTGTGTGCGTGCGTCTATGAAAGCAGCGTAGCCTGCATATAGCTTTAGTTTAGCTATAAACCCGAGCCCGAACCCGAAGCTATTCATTAAACATTAACCCGAACCCCACCCGAAACCCGAAAGTATTTCGGAACCCGTCGGGCTCGGGTCAGGTAGCAGACCTCTACCCCACATGTCTACGTCACTGTGTGGGAATATTTGCATAACACCGCCCAAATGTTTACGCAAAGAAAGAAGGTTTAACTCGCTGTAGTATCGTTGCCATGTCATGGAGACGCTGTGTGTGTTTCCAGATATGGTAAGAGGCGTAACATTTCCACACTTGAGGTATTCGGGTATTTGGCCAATCACAATGCACTGGATAGCTGGCCAATCAGAGCACACCGCGCTTTTCAGAACGATGCGCTTTGTAAAAATTGACGCGTTTCAGAAAGGGGGGGAGGGGGTGGCAGAGAGGAGAAACAATAATGTACAGTATGTGGAAAATAATGTGTTTTTTGAACCTTAAACCACGTAAACACATTGAATTACACCAAATACACAAAATAATGTTATTTTAGCATTGTCATTTCATATGACCCCTTTAATCACAGAGTAATGCACTGGCAACCACCCAGAACAGCCAAGCAACACCCTAGAAACTAGACAGAAAACTCAAGATACCACTAAGTAACACACTAGCAACCATCGAGCAAGGTCCAAGAAACCACACAGAATATAGTAGCAACCAAACAGCAAATAGTGTAACTATTTCAATTACTTTATTAATGTAACTGATTATATTGGATTACTTTTTGAGTACATTTCAAATAAATGTTTTCAACTGTTAATCATTTTGAAACATTTAGAGCAGGCAGGGTTAACCTTACAGTAGCACTCAACACTGATCACTGTCAGACTTTCAAAATCCTTCTTCACTAGAATTAAAATAATCATTTCATTTTAAAGCAGCCAAAACAAAATCAGACTTTAGCACCTCTTCTTACTTTGAGATCGTTCTGAGGTTAAATACAGATTTAAAATCTTAACAAGAAATAGTAGCTATGATATAGTTCAAATTTGTTGAAATCTAATTTTTGCATAGTTGTGACAGGAAACATTGGCATTTAACAATTCCTTGGGAAAAAAAGTTAATCTTAAAAAAAAATAAAGCATATATGTGCATCAACCCAAACAGGAAATAAAACTTATCAAATAAGCATATGTCCTAAACTCCTGAAACATTGGTGTCTCATATTTTATAGCAGTCGATGCAATTTGGTAAAGAAATCAATCAAATCTATGTGCGTGTGAAAATATTCAGATGTAACCCCCTTTGTAATCGTTACCATTTTCATAAGTAACTGTAGGGTTATTCCGTGTCAACTCAACCAGAGGTCCCCGGCTCAAATGTTTGATTTTGCTAATATTTTTTCTGAAGAAAGACAGCCAAGTATAGTGTTGAAAGCCAGAGTATTAAATGTCATGGATGAATATTTACTGAGTAATCCACTATTTTGTAGAGGGGGGGTCAAAATGGCAATTTTCACCTGAGATTCAGAGTCAAATTACAGGAGGTTAAAAATGACTTCAGAAAGACGGCAGCATCATAATGTTAATTTTACACAGAGATTGGTAGGTCTATTAGTGAAATCTGTTGACTTTAGCAATCTTTGTAGCATTATGTGCCAATGGTGACCATTTAAAAATGGGGAAACAGCACTTTTCAATTTTTTCATCCAAAGTTTGCATGCCTGTATCTCAAGAAGTACTGAAGATATCTTAATGCCCTTTTAGATATTGGGTCTTAAGAAACTTTCCTTTTGGTATCTTCATTTTTAAGGCCCTATATGGTTCAGTTCCTGAGATATTGGAATTTCAATATGGCTCCAGGAGTAAATTGTTAAAATTTGTTAAAACAGCTGATATTTATTGCGGTTACATTTATTTTGTAATTAAATTATGTAATGTTACTAGTTACTCCCCAACACTGAATATGACAACTCTCAGATGTTCCTTCTACAACACACAACCCAGATGGCTTTATAGAGGGTTGAAAAAAAATGTTTATTCATCTCCAAAGAAAAAAACTCTTAACATGTGGAGTATCGAAAAAACTACATTAATGTGTGGTTATACCATTAGACAGAATTACATCTGATTTCCACCATTGAGTGTCCCTAAATGCTAAACTCAACATATCCACTAGAGGGCACCAAACTACTCTCTCCAAGTCTAAAAGCCTACTGTAAATTACATCATTGCAAATTAAAACGTTTTCAAAAAGAGGTCTGTCCTGAATGGGAGTAAGAACATATGAAGACAACTTCCTGAGCTGGAGGAATGAACTGATCAGGAGCATTTCTGAGTAGATTCTTCACTACTTTTTCTTACCAGCGATTCTTTTCGAGCGGCGGAGGCCTCTGACATCACCCTCCGGGGCTTCTGGGGCAGTGGTAGGTTTGGAGGCAGTCTGGGCTTTTAGGGTGGCAGGAGGTTTTGAGGGTTTTGGTGCAAGAGGAGCAGAAGTAGGTTTGGAGGGTTTTGGAGCAGGAGCTTTGGAGGTTTTTAGCGTAGGAGGTGAGGCAGGAGGTTTGGACGCAGTCTGGGCTCTCAGGGTGGCAGTAGGTTTGGAGGTTTTTGGAGCAGGAGAAGGTTTGGAGGTTTTTGGAGCAGGAGAAGGTTTGGAGGTTTTTGGAGCAGGAGAAGGTTTGGAGGTTTTTGGATCAGCAGGAGCTTTGGAGGTTTTTGGAGCAAGAGAAGGTTTGGAGGTTTTTGGATCAGCAGGAGCTTTGGAGGTTTTTGGAGCAGGAGCAGGAGAAGGTTTTGAGGTTTTTGGATCAGCAGGAGCTTTGGAGGTTTTTGGAGCAGGAGAAGGTTTGGAGGTTTTTGGATCACCCGGAGCTTTGGAGGTTTTTGGAGCAGGAGAAGGTTTGGAGGTTTTTGGATCACCCGGAGCTTTGGAGGTTTTTGGAGCAGGAGAAGGTTTGGAGGTTTTTGTATCAGCAGGAGCATTGGAGGTTTTTGGAGCATGAGAAGGTTTGGAGGTTTTTGGATCAGCAGGAGCTTTGGAGGTTTTTGGAGCAGGAGAAGAGGTGGAAAGTTTGGGGTTTGAAGGGGGTTTAGGGGATTTAGGGGCAGTAGAGGGTTTGGTGCCTCTGTGGCCTTTTCGCCGTGGTTTAGTTGACTGTGGTGTCTCCTACAAGAGTCGAAAGCAAATTTCATTGACAAAAAATGTGTAGGTATAAATTAAAGGCCCGTTCACACCAAGAGCGATAACTATATTAGCGTTCTCATAGACGGAGGATAATGTTTTGTTATATAAGCGCGCGCTGCAGTTTTGTCGTCTGCCACTGCTCAAACTCTTCAAAGTCAGGTGGATTTTGATTGGCTGTCAATGTTTTTATCATTCATTAGCTGGAAAATAACGTTCTATAAGTGTTTCCAATGATATAATTCCTCTGGTAGCGTTACAGCTGTGTGGAAAATTCCTCTAATTTAGAATGATTATTAAAATTATAGTTGCCATTATAGTTATTGTCATTGTCGTAACAGGCCTTCATTCTGTTTGAATGTCTGCTAAGTACTAAAAGTATCAGCTAGGACACAGCAAACGGTAGTCAAAAGTGATCCACTAACCTCTTTACCGGACAGCTGGGATTCCAGAGCAGATATTTCTGCTTTCAGCGTATCTACGTTTACCTTCCCACAAAAAAAAAAGGATCATCTTAAGTGCGAAACGTTCAAAATATACACATTTCCAGCAATGACTGAGAATGTGCTATTGCTAGCAGTTACCTTGATTTGTTTGATGTTCTCCTTATAGCTGTCAATGTCCTTCATGAGTCGCTCCTCCTTTTCTCTGCAAACAAAATTAATGTAGATGTATCAAAAATCTAAACACTGCTAATCTGCAGCAACAACTTTAGCATGTTGAGAAGACATGTGGAACTGATAAATTAGCGACTGAGCAAACGGTTTTCTTCTGGTGGACAATACAACTGGCAAAACATCTTACAGACATACAAGTTGGGACACAGAAGACTTGGGGCTAAGAAACCAGCCAGAACACTCCAGCAACCACATGGCAACATTTTAGCATCATGCTAGTGAGTTTTGCATGGGTAAGTACCACTAGAAAAGCCATTCTTTCATTGTGTGCGAGCTGTCTGGATAATACCTCGATACTTGTGCTTTTTCCAGCTCTGTCTTGAGTTTGCTGACCTCTGCCTTCTCCTCAGCAGTAGTGCAGTGCACATCAGCAACCTTTAGCTTGGCAAGGAGAGCTTTAAGATCAAGCCCTTCCAGCTGACTAGAGCTCAGGGACCTCAGAAGTATTTCCATGGAAATTTGCTGTAAACGTTGACACGACGCCACCTCAAACACCAGAGCCACAAATATTGAGATCCGACAGGTGTTTCACAAGCATCACATTATGAAAATGGTGGATATGAAGTGACAAAATGCATTATAAAAGTGTCATGTATTACCTTAGAAAGCTCTGTCTGTATTTTGTCAAGCGCAGCAAAGCCCATGTCCCGCATTTGTTTCATGCTCTTCAGAGACTTCTGCAAGTCGCTTAACTCTTGCTGTAAACCAAATTGTCATGAAAATGTCCTCTTGGTTCAATTTAATTCTCAAGATGAAAAGGAAATGTTAATGACAATGATCAGTTTAAGCATAAATGGGAAAATAAGGAGGATGTGACATTTTGTATGTACACCGTGTGCAATATGCAAAATTTCTATGTGTACATAATAGCAGGTGGCCTACTATATTTGCACAAATTTCAATATGCAAATTAATAAGTAATATAAGCAGTGGTTTTAAACAAAATTTGATGTAAATATTGGAATAAACATATGGCAATTAAGCTGAGATTTTTCTGAGATGATAACTGGACAGCAATTGATATAATTGGAAATGTTTAACACTGCATAACATGTAGTAATTTTTAAAATAGTATGCAGTAGTTAGTGTATACTATGCAGTACACTAATATTCCATCCAAAAATATGCATTCATTGACCTGTGCCTGTTGAACTCGCTTTTTCCATTTGGTTTGATAGACAAACTCCAGGTCTGTGTCTGTCCATTTGTATCCCTGCATTCCCTGGATGAAGATTTCAGGATCAGGATCAGGATTCCCAGGGGTTGCTGGACAGTCATGAGAGTGAATATTAAAGCAATTAAATCATACCGAACAAGAAACAGTGAGTATATGTGGTGCGGTACCATTACTAACAAATATAAGAACATAGAGAGATGTGTGAATATGATTACTTATGTCAGTGAGTATATGAAATCACCTGATGCAGCGGTAGAACTAGACCTCCTGACCGACTTCCTCTCATCTTTAACTTTAGGGTGCTGGAGAACTTCATTTGATCCATTGCAAGAAAGGGGTTTAGTTATTTCCTTGGAAAGATTTTAGTAGGTTTAGTTATTTCCTTGAAAAGAAATTTGAACTCATTAAGAACTTTTATGAAGTGATTACTAAATACATGACATTTAAAATAAATGTTTTAATAAATTGCATACTTTCATCCTAAGCAAAATGAATACATTTAAAATTTTGAAAGACCAGAGAGAGAGAGAGAATTCTAGCTTTCATTTCATATTTATTAATGTAAATGTTTAGTTTTCTTTTTTGACTGATATCGACAACTGCCAATTTAATAAGTTAAATGAATTTGGTGGGGTTGTAAAAAAAACAACAACAGTGTATTATTTGATTAATAATTAAACTTTTCTCATTCTCAAGTGAGAAATTTGTAGCTTAACAATTAAACAAGACTCCCAAAAATTACAACGTTGAATATCCTTAATAATTATGACTTATAATAATATATTATTACAGTACATTATTTTATTAATAATATCAAATATTCAGACATAATATTTTTTGGTTTGTTTAATCTCAGAGTTATTTAATTATTCTTATGCCACAGTAGAAATAATATTCAAATTTTGCTCATATGGATTTAGCCTATCAATCCATTTCTTATATGTTGGAAACGCATGAGGCCAAAATATTCAGGACATTTGGACAGGCCACAATATTACCATGATAAAAAGGAATAAACGAAAAGAAAATATGTGTATTAAAAGCTATATATCCATACACATTTGTATTTGTATATGAGAAACACGAATGGCCCACTGATACAATACTATCGTTGTGTTTGTTTGTTTGTTTGTTTACCTGGCCGCATGGCTCATCTTTGACCACTTGTTCACTCGTTGGAGAACCATCTGGTTTGCTGGGGGGGCTTGTTGTTACTCTTTCACTTTTGGATGGAGGTGTCCTCTCTAACTGTCGCCCGGCAGGTATAATATTTGGCTGCTCATCGATTATTGATCGCGCTAGTGAAGGCGCATCATGCGAATCCAAATTACGCACATTTTTGGTGCGTTTGATTCTGCCTCCCTTCGAGCTCATATGAGCTGCCGGTGTTTTTCAACTCTTAAATTGTTCAACTGATGTTGTTTGAAGGACAATGCTACGATCTTGACGCTCTCAAACTGCATACAATTTTAAAAGTGACCTCAAGCAGAGTGAAGCGGAGTTACTACATGTGCTGATCAGTGGTAATGGCATTGGGTGGCCACTAGGATAATAAACAGCAGCACACGCTACTTGTAGCGCTCATTAAAAGTTGTTAATCTCGTGACAGATGCAGTGTATCTTTTTGCTATTTCAATCGTTAATATAAAATGTATTTTCTCTGTATTACATATACCAACCAGGCTCAACTATATAAAAATTCAGAATTTTAATGTTTACTCAACAGGCCTCTACAGCTCAGAGTGTTTCAATGAATGAAGTTAACCGGCAGAGGGCGCTGAAGCATTTCTCAGGCAAAAACTGTGACTGACGGCATAATATCGAGGCCACTCTTAAATAAAATGTAAAATGCCTAACCAAATGGCATGGGAAATGGCATTTAAAAACAAAACAAAACCAATTTTTATAGATATTTTATCCTCTAATGCAGTGAGATTCTGACATTTTAAGTGTGGCTAACTGTGTTAGAATACTTTATGGGGCTATTGTATGTATAAAAACAAGAACAATGGTACAGTCCAACCAAAATGTATTCAGACACCTTCAAAATGTCTCACATTATTACAGTTTATTCGGTATAGTTTAGAAAATGGTAATAAAATATGACAAGAACTCAGAGTTAAACTGTGTCAGAACAAAAATCTTGATAATGTCAGATAACTTTGATAGAAAGTAATGAATTCGGTTAAAAGCTGTCAGCTGTTAAATTTAAGTACACAATTAGATAATACCACTTTAGGTCAACCAATAAACAAGCAATTCTTAATTTTGTTCAGTCTGTGGTGTAAAAAGGTCCATTAGCAATTAAAGAAAAAACACTCAAGCAAAACATGGTCAGGTCAAAGTGTCTGTATAGTTTTTGGTCCCAAATTTTTATAGTTCACTGTATGAAGACTTTTTGGGTATAATATGTCACAGTTTACTTTATTTTGCTATCCTCACTTATAATAAACTATAGTGTCCTGCACCCACTAGTAAAAAAATATCACAAATTATATCTGGTGTCTGAATAATTTTTGGTTTGACTGTATGTCTCTTAGTTAAAATTAAAGGTCTGGTGTCATATGAAGAGCAGAGATCATTTATATTCAGAAAAAATGTAAAGTATAACTTTATTGAAAACAGTGGAAAACTGTTTATGAAAAAGTAAAGCACAAAACATGTACAATGTGTCATATGATGTGTTTAACTCTACAAGTAAGACAAATAACCACAGCAATAATACAGCAACATTACTATATCTGGCCGCTCAAACAAACAGATTAGGCCTATAAATTCTGTTTGTTGCCGCTAGCGGATAGGTAATTACATTCAGCATCTTTAATATCTAAACTGTTCAAAACAATTACAGTATCATCTCACTTACACTTTAATACTGCTCACTGACATCCATGTACTGGATTGTAAAAGTTAAAAGACATGCGGGTGTCTCTTTCGATGCTGAAGGGAGTGCATCAAGAACTGATGGCTCCTAGATATCATCCAATCAGTTCCTGATGCAGTATCACCAACATCAGAAAGTTCTCACAGATGAAGGGATGGCTTGTAGTAAGGAATTGGTCTGTGAGCTAATAATATTGTGAATGAATAACAAACACTTTAAACATTTACATTTCAGCCTTGCCACAGATTTCAGCGTAACTCTATTATACTTTGACTTCTTTTCCACAGGTTGCTCTCTTCTGTCCGATGGAGACCAGTGTTATTTCGTCATGGTGTGCGAGTGCTGAGTGTGACAGAACCCCAGCAGCGCCTGTGAGAGGGGTGACACACTACTCACAGTTGCCAGCTGAGATTATGCCAAAACTCAGCCGCCAGTACCGGAGTCTTCCAGAAGGGTGCGCGCAGATGTTCGCGTCCCAGAGATGGTAATACATTTACGAACTTCTTTAGCTCCTCTGTGCAGTATAAGATGCATGTTTGATCATTTTGGTGTAAATTGAAGCGGTTATTGCACAACAACAGATTAGCATTTTAGCATTGAGATTAGCAGAGATGTAGTATTGAAGTATAAGGCAGATTCAGGTGCAGCTGATGTAGTTTTGGGTGTAAACAGACTACTCAACCCCTACAGGTCAATGTGAGACTGAAATCACATCACAGTTGCCTGCAGAGATTACCCAGTCGGTCCATTGCGTCTTTGTTGTGATGCTAGTCAATAACAAAGAGGTTGGGTTTAAACTGAGCATTATCAGCGGTTCTCAAATGGTGGATTGCGACCCAAAAGTAGGTCGCAGGTCAATTCTAATCAAATGTGGCAGAATCAAAACAATGCTAAATGCAAAATACATTTGCTGTAATTTTTAGGCAGGAAAAGAAAAAGGCTTTGCATATCTTTTTTGTTAAAGTCTCAGAAGTAGCAACAGATCTTTTCTTCCATATTGTGACGCACAGTCAAGTGTAATAATGGATTATCAAAACAGAAAATATAGAGTGGAGACTTGGTTATATCCATCAGTTGCTGATTGGACTGGAGCTTGCAGAAGATTGTAAAGGGAGGGAATACGTCACCATGGTTACATTGTGACATTCTAATTATGAGGTCAAAAAAATGCACTGGTGAATTGTTTACATTCACAATAAGATTGATACCATGCAAATAGATACAGTAAATTTTTGTTTCATGCTGTCTTCAAAATCAAACTTAGCAGAATTTTGGTAGGGATGCTAACATGGACAGTTTGCATGAAATGCTCTTATCTTCGAGAACCATGAATGAAATTTTGCAAGGTAAATTAAATGCATCGTAGACTATATTAAATATAGTTTGCAGGATGAACATGGTTTGCACCGGCTGTGTTTCAGTCGCATGAATTATTAAATGCTGGGAGCATGAAACTATCAAATTCATCAAACATATCAAACAACAATTTTCTTGTTCAGTCTATGTCATTATTGTTTAGGCTAATATTGATAAATGTCAATGTTTGATTTTAAAGTCAGCATGAAGCATAACGTAAGTTGCTCTTTTTTTGACACATATCCAAAAGAAATGGCTTCTTGAATGAGAAAAAAAAAATGTTGGGTGGGACTTAATTTTGTCCATCGGGAACCGATTAGATCATTGTCGTTCTTCAATCTCATGTGAATTACAGGTTGTTGGAGGGATGAAATTATTGTTTCACTTCCAAAAAAAAATCGGCATCTATGGTTCCATGAGGAACCTTAATAGTCCTTGGAAACTATCCATTCCACAAAAAGTTCTTTAGAGCGGAAAAAAAGATCTTTGTATTTTTAAAATGTTCTTTAAGTAACAAAATGGTTCTTTTAAGAAACTTTTGCTAAAAGGTTGTTTGGGGAACCAAAATGTTTTTTTTTTTTTTTCAAAATTTAACCAAAATAGTTATTCTATGGCATCGCTGTGAAAACCCCTATTGTAATCTTTACTATTAAGAATGTAAGGGGAAGTATTTATTTATGAATTAATTTAATTTATAATAAAATTCCAATACTCCATAAATAAGAATTGACCATTTTGATTCGATTGGTAACTTTAAGACCTTTTTTTTTTTTTTTTATACGATAAGCAATTTTGCTACAGTTTTGTGTCACCACCACATCACGTCTACTGTAAAATCTGTGTCCTGAAACAAAACCAGCTGAAAAGCGCTATTTTATATTATCATTGTTTTTGTGTTGGTGAGTGTATGATAGCCGAAGTGTGCCGTAAACAAACACTCTAATCCGTTAAGGCCGAAAACCGTCGCGTGAGGGGCAGTTTAGCCTCTCCCAGCTGGTGAGCTGAAGGGCGTCTCCCCAAGGCATCTGGCGTGTGTCCCCCAATAACCCCACACCCCCTCAACTACACACACACACATACACACCCTTCCTCTGCAAGACCGTGATCCCCGCTGCTGTCAGGGCCCACTGGTCGCCATGGCAAACTCACAGGAACCTGAGCCGGCATTGTCAGAGCGGCCAATGTGTATGTCCCACTCGCCGGCTCTTCTTTAGAGTCACAGCTCGGGTCCTTTGACACCCCTGAACACTGCAACAAATTGAGAAAGACAGAAGAAAGGAATGAGGGAGAGGGAAAGAGCTCAAGGCTGATAGATACAGCTAAGAGAACAGGCAAAGTCATGCTTCAGGTTCGCTAGCAATGTGCCCAATGCACATTTCTTAATATTAAGCCTAGAATGTGTTTTAATTGAATGATCTTTCAATAATATTGTTTTTTAAGTGCAAAATATGCACTTAAGTGTACCTGAAGTATACTTGCAATAGTTCCACTTTAGCACAATCAAATATACTTCAGTATATCTTTAGTTGGACTTCAGCACTACTTCCGCACAATTAAAGTGCATTAAGTACAAAATTTGTTGTTCCAATTTAGCAGACATCAAGTATACTGGTTTGGTATACAAAAAAATTATAATTGCAGGGGTTTTATTATTAAGCGCATACATTTATTTAAGATTATTATTTTTATTAAGCACATAAATATGTGTATATATTTGTAATATACTTAACATGAAATAAATGTATTTCAAATACATGTTAATATATTTATTTTTCACTAGTTAAAACTAGGTCAACAATGGTTGGTCCATGTCGGAAATAAAAGGGTTAAAGAGTGGAACAACATTTGCCCTTGGCTCTATAATTATGTTTGCAAAAAGTGAAATGATTTTTGCAGTTTTTATGTTTAACCGATAAACTGAGTTACAAATGTCGCCTATAAGGTTTTTGTCAATCTGCTTTGTGCTCCGTGAATATTTTCTGACAAAAAGATTTAAAATAGGTGTGAACATGGCTCTTTTTTTTTTATATATATATTTAAAGAATGCAAGAAAACATTACAGTTTCAGCCTAATCCAGCATGTATTACCTTGTATTTCAAAATTGGTTGTTTCAAAACAAAAACGTGCCCCTCCCATGAACTCTCTAGTGGTGAATGTTTTTTTAACATTGACGTTTTCCAAAAGCACAGTTGTTTTATTTAAAAAAATATAGGAATTAGTTTTTGTTCTGTTTTCCCACTATGCCAACTCTACACAGTTCCATTTTTGATACATTTCGTTTTCATTGTTACTTGTTTTTGAGTCACTTTTCTCCAGTTCCTCC